CACACATATCTAATTGTTGAGGTTGCCTCCCGATTCTGTTTCACTTCCTTTTTATTTATCATTCTTTTATTTATCAGGTTCTGTGGGCTTACTGGAATGAAAAAAGTGTGTGTGCATATGTAGACGTGGGAGGAGTCTTATCTGTGCTTTATGTTTCTGTTGCATTTGAACAGTGCTGCTGTTCTTTTTGCTGTGTGCCCGAAATGTGCAACTTGCCTTGCTGCCATCCGTGGTTAGCTCTCCCTTGGAATATGTGCTAGCTGTTTCTCTCTAGATGCATTGCAAATGCTTATCCTTATGCAGTGAGAGTGAGTTGTTTTTAATTGCCTCCAGTAGTCTCGGTGAGTTCACAAGGTTAAATGTGGCAAAATACAACTCCTTACCCAGCTTTGCCATTGCTTAAGATTTCCCTCTATGTATATATTTGTTTGGTAATAAAGTTTGATTGATTACACTTGTGAATACAATGTAAAATTTATGCAGTGTTATTAAGAACATTTGAAAGCTTCTGCTGTGTATGCTCCTGTGTTTTTGTACTTCAAGTTTAAGTTGTTAAGAAGTGTTAGTTCTCATTTTTGCTTTCTTTCTCATTTCATCCTTTTTGTATGAATCTTTACGTGCTGTGCTTGTTAGGCTGCTCTGCCACTCTTTCTTCCAGCTGAATGACAAAGGATAAGCTTCTCCACTTCTTACCTCACTCACTTTTCATTCTTGATACAGATGAAAACAGGAAATTACTGAGCTTTCCCTCTTGTTGATTCTGGCTGCAGCTTGGATCTTCTGCTCTGTCCCTTTGCCTTCTGGGACCATCAGCTTGAGCTCTGTGCATGATGAGCCTTACCAAAGCTGCTCTATCTCAGCAAAGAAATCTTGGGTTTCTGCCAGAACAAAACTGTAGATTCTTAATATCACAGACGTAATGTTTTTGTATTTGAGGACTTCCTTTCTACTAGTTACTTATGAAAGACTTAGCACAGGACTAGTGAAACTAACTTGTAAAAGTAGCTCCTGGCTTGCAAACAGCAAACCTTATATGCAGTTGTTCTGTTGAACTACAATGACAAGATCTTTCTGGCTTTTTCATTAAATGAAGTGCCGTGTTTAACAGTTGGTAAACATTCTTCTTTGTTGCCCTGCAAAGTTGCCTGGGTTCAAAGCATTACTTGGGACTGTTTGCAAACTTTGCATCGCCATACACAACAAAGCTTTTGCTGGTTGGTTTCCTGCTTCAGCTTCACCAAAACAGGATTTCTGTCTTGAAACAACTTGCACAGCCATAGCTCCAGGGAGGAATTAGCATGTACAGTGAGATAGGAGTTTCTTCAACTAAGGCAGAGTCAAAAAGTGTTAGTGTTTGGGAGAGTGTGAGAAGGAATCTGTGACAAAGATGGATGAAGGGAGGAACAGATAAACTACCCTAAAGGTTGCCAGAACTCTTTAAGTGTAACTTCACTCCCAGCTATTTAAAGTTACAACTAACACTTGGTAATACTTTTCCATAGTCATCTTGTGCTTTATTGAGAAGGATCGTGTCTGGCTGATAAGCAATGCACAGCTCCCTGTGTGGTGCCTGCTTTGTTGTGAAAATGTTTGACCATATGATGAATTACCAGTTGGTGTTGCTCATAAAAACCATTTGCAGAGTGAGGCTGCCATCGTCAGTACTGCATGTGCCTTGTGTCAGAACATGAATACAAAACTTCTAATTCAGTTCTGAAGTTGGATCATCTAAAGAAATCCAAGCACTTGCACGTGACCTTTTCCTAATTGACTTGTTTTCCTGGGAGCTCCCTGTGGTGTGTAGCTAAGCCTGTTCTTTGTGCAGCTGGACTGGAATGTCAGCATTCATGAATAAGAGCTTCAGACAAGTAGAGATTGAAGTAGTCCCAGAAATGGGCTGCAGGGCTACAGACACCTTGTTTTGTAGCTGTTCCCCTGTTTGGTGAAGATCTTTAAGAAGAATGCTTTGCTGCTCATTAGAGCTCTTTCGTCTTCCTCCCCCGTTCCCATTTGTAATCTGTCCTTGGTGCTTTTTGAAAGCATGTGAGTGGTGTGAAAGTGGAAATTTCTCTTAACCAAGTAGCTATAATTGACCTACACCTATCCTGCTCTTCCTGCACGGTAGTATTATACTATAGTAGCTGATCCTAAACTCCAGTCTTCCTCCAATTGCATGAAATTCCTTGTTGCATTGCTTTTATAATGACAGTTAAAATAATGTAAGTTTTTAAGGAATGACTGACTTACAAGTGGCACAGCTGCTATACTCAACTCCTTTGTTCGTTGGCATTTTATGACTTGGCATTTCATACTTATTATTCAAAACCAATTTTACTATTCAGCAGCAACACTTCAACATTCAGCTCCCTATATGCCTTATTACTTGAAAATGGCATGGTACAGAAAATAAGCAGGTGGCTCTGGATTTATTGGCCAAAAAAAAAAAACAAAGGCAGAGTTACAAACAGTGTATTTGCATGTGTTTTAACTATCACCACAAGCTTTACATTTAAAAAATATGTATTTTCTGTTGTCAGTATTAGGTGTGTCCTAGTGTGCACTTTCTGGTCAGAGTCATCTACTCAGAGTAATCTGAGTACATAAATTCTGAGTTACTGACTTTATCAACAGTTTTCTTTAGCTGCTTACTCCTGTGGCCCGTGGAATGAATATCAGTGCAGTGTGGTTGCCATGCAGCCGTCTGGTTGGTTTGTGCTGGAGGTGCACATGTCTAACCAAGCACACCCCAGGCAGTGTTCCCTTGAGAATGCACTGAAGGAGGGTGGCAATACCAGGTGACAGGTTCAGTAGGTCCTTTCTAGTGCTGTGTGGCATTGGTAGCTCTGGGACCCAAAGACGGCCTTGGGGTGAATTGCTGAGATCAGTTGCTTTTGTTGTTTTCTTTTTTTCAAGGTTATCTTTTAATTCCAACAATGACAGCTCTGTACTGCTAGCTCTACTAGCTGTATGTGTTGTTAATAACCAGAGTGCATTTGGACTTCCATGTGCTGCAAGACAACAGCACAGACACTGCTGTCCTTCACTGTAAAAAACAGGAAAGGACATCTGATTTTGTAGGGAAAGGGCCTGCATCTTTTCACTTCCAGTGCCTCAGAGATGGGAGGCAAGTCTGTGTTGGCTCTGACTGCCTATGGCTTTCTCTTGTGAGCTGTTCTGATGTTATCATCTTGTATGAGAGGGAGGAAGAGAGCTCTCCTGCACAGAAGAAACTGGGCAAAGAAGTCATTGTATGAAATGTTTAAAATTTTCTGGAGTTTGTCTCTGAAGAACTGCAGGATTTTAGGAGACCCATAATGCCTTGACATCATGCTGCTATTGGTGTTGTCATGTTTTTACTTCTCCTTGTGTTTGCAGCTTAACTTTGCACTTATCTTTTGTCAGCCTTGTAGTATCAGACCTCCCTTAGTGAAGGTATTTATGTTTCTGGTACAATTGCTAATTGTTCTCTTGCCTTGACTTCTCAGTCAGCACCTTTGCCTCCACCTGCATTTATGTAGCACAGCCATGCTGAATCAGGCAGGCCAGTTTATCTCACCAGTCTGGAAGTTACAACAGCAGGTGTTGTTTTTGTTGCATTATTCTGTTTAGCAAAACAGCCCTACCCAAACACTGAAGGTGTGCTTCCAGATGCTTCACTTTCTGACTTGAAGCTTGATACTTGGTAGCCACAGGAGCAGGTGGTAGGTTAGTAGTAACAGTTGTCTTGTAGTAACAAGATGTTGTCTGCCTTGTACCCATCTTGTGATTCTTCTTCTCCTTGGGGGACTTCTGCTGGCAATCATTGGAACTGAAGAGTGGTACAGTGATGAAGCCTCCTCCTCCTCCCTTGTTAACTTTGACAGCAGTAATTATAAGCGCAGCTGCAGTGTGGTACCTTTACACTGAATGCTGCTGTTAAAAGCAAGCTGATTTTCATGTGTGTAAAGTGCACATGTAGTGGGTGTTGGGAGCAGTGCATCCTTGTTTGGTAGTTTCTGCTGGGTATGTATGTTTTGTGTTTTTCTATGCAGCACTGACTGCAGAATTGTTCGCCTGTTCTGTCTGACCTTATGCTGCTTTGATAAGAGTTTTTGTATGAGACTTCTAAGTTTTTGATTTTTTTTGTTCTTTGCCCCCAGGTAATTGCTCTGGGGCTTAAGAATGCAAGGGACAACTGGAAAGGGCAACCTACCTGACTAAGCTTCTGTTATTATTTATTCAAACATTTGTGTTTTTGTCTTTTCAGGCAGAGGCCGAGGAGAAAGCGGTTTCTACCAAAGAAGTTTTGATGAAGTGGAGGGTGGATTTGGGCGAGGAGGGGGCAGGGAAATGCACAGATCACAGAGTTGGGAGGAAAGGTAACAGAAAACTCTAGCCCTCTCAAGTTCTCTATTTGCATCTGCTCAGCTGCCTTTTTTGCCTTTTGATTTCATGAAAATGTTGTAGGAAAGATGCTTAGGCATACCTGCGAGTGGAACATCTGAATTTCTAGGGTGAATCCATCAATTGTTTTTCTAGAAACTCAGGAGCAACTAGAAGAGTACTTAAAGTATTTCTCTGACAAACTCCTGGCAGGAACGAGCTATAAAGAGAATATAAACAATGGGCACAAAGATGGAAATCAGTAACTTGTGGATAAAAAATATGGATTTCTGAAGGATTCACTTTGCCTTTTAGTCTTGATGCTTTTGTATTGATAGGATATAGGGCCACACTTAAAAACGTGCTTAGTTGCTAAAGGATACAGATATTGACATTCCTGGAAAATTTCACTTATCATCTGGGCCTATAAAAATCCTGTCCATCAAGGTCTGGTTTAAAAACATACAAAAACCAAATAAAATCTAAATAACCCAATGCCAACCCAAACTAAACAAGAAACCCCTCTTACTTAAAATGAATGGAGTAGTTCTAAAACCTTATTTGAAACTTCTATTCTGCCTTTCCAGGGGAGACAGACGCTTTGAAAAACCAGGGCGAAAAGATCCAGGTATGGTTTTGTTACTGTATGGGTAGAAGATGGGAGGGAAGAGCAAGAATGTGTTTTGGGGTAATAGCTTATATGTACTTAAAGCTTTCTTACCTGCTTCAGATTTGTTAATAGAAAGCTTGTGGTACTGTGCTGCTTTACTCTGAATGTGTTTGCAGTGTTGTTTTTGCCCCAAGTAGATTTTATTTATTTGATGAGGGTTTGTTTGCAGTTGGAAAATAATTTCTGTGCATCTGAGAAGAGCCTTCACTGATAAGCTCTGTGGGTACTCTGTGAAATTTGCTGTGTAAATGCAGTTTTTAAACATTCCTGGCATGTGTTGTTTTGGTATCTAGAACTTCTTGACCGTGTCAACTGTTCTGTTTTTCTTGAATGCTCACTTGTGTGGTAGATCTTAATGGCAACGTGTTGAAGTTCCCATGGTTATGGGATGGATGTCTGTCCAACTAGTTTAAGTTCTCATAGAAATCTTCTGTTCATTGAAGTTACCTGCTTCTTTCTCTCTCCCAGTACAGCTGAAAGAGTATACTTGTGAGTGTATCTGCCATGTTCCCTCTTGTATTCCTGAAATGGTTCACGTTGGTCATGTTCAGGAAAAATCATTAATTTTGACCCAGTGTGTCTCTCTGATTACTCACCTGAATTTGAGTTGGAGTGTATTGTTGTCTGGGAAGTGGGACTTTTCCGTTTAGGTAGAATCTGCAGTTGTGAGTGGTGAGAAGGAAGGTTCTCCTGTCAGCTGGGTGTACCGTAACTTCTGTTTCATGGGGTTGTGCACTGGTTGCTCCCTGATGTGACCTTGTCCTTTCTCTGTGGTGTGTTTCCACACGCACGTACTGCAGCTGTTTTGTGGGAGTTCTTGGCAGGACTGTCAGCAAACTTTACTATATTGGAGTATAAGGAGTATTGGCTAAACAGCCTCCATAGTGAATGTGTTGGAAAGGCGTAGGTCAGAAAATATGGCTACAGGTTGGGTTTCAGGACCAACAAAACTCCCAGAGGAGATTCAATTGCAATTGGGAGTTGATAGGAGTATGTTTTAATGCCTGAATGACAGTCAGTAGTTTTATTTCTTTTTTTGAGAGAGTAATGAGTTTCTATCTCAGTAATACAAATTTACATGGTGGCCCATGCTTTTAGGAATCTTACTACCATGTTTTCTTTCATAGCCCTCTGAATTCTCTCTCCATGTGTGTATTGATTCTTTTTAATGTTTTAAAGAATGCTTTTCATTTTTCTTTTTAAGATGACAAATGGTTAACTGGGACAGTGCTGGTTTTCCTCTTCTCTTTTCCTTGAAAGAGATTACTCCTGAAAACAACTTGAGATTTCTGAGATTGCCCCTCTTTGCATCTCCAATAGTGAAAGTTTGTCTTGAGTGTGTGCTTATAGTTAGACCTTTGGGGAATGGAAAAAAAATACTCTGGAAGTTTCAGGACTGTTTTTTTTTTTAACAAAAGACAAATGAATGTGGCAACAGCGAGAGCATTATCTACCATCATTGGTTATTTATTTAGCCCCTTCCTGTTCCTCTGAGAAAATAAAGCACTACAAGAACCAGACTGAATGTTGTGCCACGTTTCTGATTAAGATTGATGAGAATATTGCCAGTCACTTTTGGATGAGATGCATAGAACTTGAGAACTTAATTTGTGCAAGATGTTCTTACAGAAGCTGGCTTGGACCTGAACATAGTGTTAATGCTGCACCTACTGCAGCGTGTCTTGTTGGTAATAACTGTCAGTCATCAGGACTTCAGAGTGCATCTGCTGGGAATGATTTTATGGAAAGATGGTATCCCCTTGTGCTTTCTTAAAGTCCTGGTTCATTGTAGAGGATGAGGTGATTTATTTCCAGTTATTAAACTTCACATTATACCTGGTTGCTCCTCCTCTAAGTCTCTTGTTGTATTACTTTTCTGATTTAATCTTATTTGACCAAAACCTCTATAACACAGCATAAGAGACGAGACGTAGAATCTTTGTGATGTCTTAATGTAAAATAATTAGCCATTTATGTTTATTATTGCTCTGTTGGAGATTCGTGGCCCTGTAAGTGAAAAGACCATTTCTTTCCTCTCCACCTTCAGAGAAATAAGGTGGAATGCACAGAAGGTACTGATACGTTTTAATTCAAACCTTGATTAATAAACAAGTAGTTAATATTATGTGCATGCTTTTGAATGATAAGATACTTAAAGCATCAAGTAAGGATACAGATGTACCAGAAGATGTCCTTGTTAACCAGACATTAGGATATCATTCACATAGAAGTGAAAGCAGAAGATGGAATGAATTGACATGCAGCTTGTAATGTAGGCTAATGAGCTCTAGCAGATATCTATTTGTTTCTGTTGTTCTGCTTAAAATTTGAAGTTTAGGATTTTATTTTTTAATTTTACAGTGCTTCAGTTTTCAATTGCTTTTGGATGGGGCCTTAAATCAGCCTCAAATTATGTAGCTTACTGAGTTGTCAACTTCTTTGTTTTGTTTGTTCGGGGTGATCACATTACAAAATCAATAACAGGTGAGAGGAAGCTTTTCTGAGCATTCATAATGGGTGACAAGGCAAGAACCTTTCAATTAAAAATCATGAGATAAAAAGGGGAGAATTCAGTAGAGAAATGCTTCTCAAATATTGAAGAATATCCAGTTCTTCAAAGGGGTTTTGCACTGATAAGTTTCCAAGTTCTCTTTTAGCTGATGCTCGGTGTCAACTGTTTCATTTTGCAAATTAAGATGCACAAAGTATTTGTGAGTTTTTCTTGCAAACTAAGTTTTGACAGACTTTATTGAGACAGCAAATTGCTTCCGGAAGGCTGAGGCTATTAGCAAAGAAAATGAGCAAGTTGTTTTCTAGATCACAGCTGTCTTGGAGTTGCACGAAAGCTGCTTAATTTTCTGTGCAACCCCTTGACTAATGCCAGCTTAGTAGCCTCGGAGATTTGAGTAGTTACCAGCAATTACACGTTGGTAAGAAATAATTGTAGATTAAACAAGACATCTAGAAAGTCAGTTGTGGAACCTGATTTAGTTGTGTTTATTGATTAAGTTAAGAAGACTTGAATGTAAAAAGGCTGCTCCTGTGAATACAACAAGGGTGCTGAATTTTTCATTTTTCCTGGCTTGTTTTTCTTCCCTAGCTCACTGTTATAGGTAGGTATATCTAAAGAAGGTTCATCACAGATTTGCTCTTGCAGCGTTACGGAAAGCTTAGAATGCAGCTTTGCATCCTTGTTTATGAGCAATTTTTTCTGGGCTTCTGATTTGTATCATGGCCTGTTTCCAGTACTTCCTGAGACTCCGTGGTTCACCAGTTCTGCAGAACAGTGGAAGTAATGTGAATGTTCTGCCTACCTTTTGTTCTGCACTGTTCTGAGATAGATAACTGTGCAGTTGTTTGTATGTTTCATTTGCTCCAGCAGTATTCTTCAGCTGAGTATTCAGAAATGTAGCATTTGAAGACAGCATGTAGGGTATACTAAAAGTATTCTTTTATTCTTTCTTTATACTTGCTGCTCTACCACATCTATGAATAGGAAGTGATTTTAAAAAGAAGAGACAGTTTTTAAGTCTCAAGTCAATTTAGAAATTGGACTGAGCAACCAACACTTTGATTAGATGTTAATTGAAAACAGAAATAGCTCTTTATGGCCGCGGCTCTAAAACGTGATTATAGTGCCACCCTGTTGGGATTATACATATGAATTTTACAGTAATTTGTCTGAGATTGGAGTATGTGAGAGAGAGAAAACGCAGTACCTCAAACAGTGCTGTTCTTGGTTATTTCTGACTTGACACAGATCCATTCTGTTGCTCTTGCACTGGTTCTTAGTTTGTCAGATTTTTCTCACTACATTACATTGGGAGAGAAGGTGTCAAATAACATTGTAGAAGGAAATAATAGCAAATTATTGGTACTGATAAGATTGAGGAGGGGTCTCTAAACTGTGTATGGGTCAACAACTGAGAAAAGCAGAGTTGAAGGCTGTGTAATTTGACTGTGTTGGTCTGCAAGCTCCACAGAATTCATTAATGCTTTTACATAGTTAAGTTCCATGAAAGATTTTGAGAAAATCTGTAACAAAACCAAATCCAGTTAGAATCTGTAACACAGACAAACTGCTTAAACAAGTTGGAGGCAAGCTAAATGGCTCAGCTCTTTCTGTTTGCGAATGCAGTTTGATTTTGAGGCTCAAGAAGAGTTCAGTTAATGGTATCTGATCCCTTTATTCCTGCTGCTGACTGCTGAAGTTAAAAGGAAGCATGTTTTGTAGAGTATTATGCTTCTGTAAGTGAAAGTTAGACCATCTTCATTTGTGGGAAAAGTCTCTTACTTTTGAGAAATTAACTCTTTTGATATTGACTTTTCAAGTATGAACACATAATAGACATTGCTTTTGTTAAGAGCTTGTAAATAATTATCCATTGTTCTATTTATTCTCTAGCTTTTTAAACTATTTAGGAGCTTTGGATTTAAGTCTTAATTGCAATAGACTTATGAGGCACTTAAATACAGAAGTCCCATGTAGCTTAATTTTTTATTTTAAAATTGATTCAGGTGTCTTTAAGTACTTCTGTGCTGTACGTAAAGGCATGATTCATGTTAAAAAGCATAAAATACAAATGGATGCAGTTCTACTTCTCATGTGGATGCAGTGCATCTTCCAGGGTCAGACCTACTTGAGAAGCACACACAGTTGAGGATGCATAGAACATGTTGTCCTTGTAATGAAAAAAAAAACCCACCACCAACAACAAAAAACCACATTCATTCATTTAGGATGGTCTGGTTTCCACTGCTAAATAATTTATTTGGTGTTTCCAAATATGAAAAAAATTTCCAGTCAGCATTTGCCATATACATCAAGATTTTTTGATACTGTCTTCATAGACTGACAAAGAGAAGTTCTCCTCATATCTGATGGAACAAAAAACTACAGATAGTATTTACATTTCTGCTTAATAAGCAAGCACAGCAGGGGTACTTCTCACTGCTGTGAGAGGTTGGCAATACTTCCTAAGAGTAAGTTCATCCCTCTGAAATCAGATGTAACCAAGTATCTCGCAAAGAGTGAAAATAACAGAAAAATCAGGGTCTTAAATCAACTGAATTGCTTATCCAAGGACTAATGTATTGACTGAATGACTCCATATTGGTTTTGTGTGAGAGTCTTCTCTTGTATTTTTGCTGTCCAATTTTGTCACAAACTGGTTGGTTAGGATTTTGGTCAGCTTTGGAAGTCTCTCCTTTCAGAGTCACACAACTTTAATCATAACCTAGTGACTTCAGCTGGTGGTTCTTCTAATTTCCCAGAAGCAGTACTGTGAATCTTGTACCTGCCTTTGTCCTAGGTGGTCGATCCAGCCTCTCCCAAGCTTATATGGGCATGCCAGTTCTCTTTGCTTTGCATATTGTGTTGCAATCAGGAGGAGGAAAACAGGAGAGATCATTAGAAGATCACAGGGCAGGCAAGGAAGGAAGGTTGTCGATGTGACCTCAGAGTTTAATGTAACAATAATTAAAAAAAGGCACAAAGTCCAAAGTCTGTTCCCTCTATTCTGTGAGGCCAGTCTCAGAGAGCTGGAAGCACTCGACATGCTGTCCGTTGATGCGGATCTCCTTGGCAGTCCTCCTTGGATTCATTGAATCAGCTGCAGCTGGGAGCTCAGGAATCGTCTTGTCAAAATTCTCCATCTTGATCTGATATTCACCTTTGGCACTGCGGGCTAGCACAGGGGCAAAACGATGGTACAGCATGATCTCTGAGGGGAGGTAGGACGTCCTCCTCTGACACACTTCTCCTGTCCCTTCCTGCACCGCTGACAGAAAGACGACCAGCTCAAAGTGGCGAGCGGCCTCTCTTTGGAGGAGAGCAGCCAGCGGGCTGGATGGGGTGATGGAGTGGTAGTAGGTCAGAGGGAAGGTGAAAAAAGGGCACTCATCCAAAGTAACGTTGTCTAGGTGGAAGTCAATACTGGTCTGGTGCAGCTGACCGTTCTCCTGTTCTTGGTAAAGAATAGCAGAAATCTGGACGCTGGTGAGTGGGCTGGAGCGTGTGTTAGCCACCTGAAACATAAGGTATGGCTTCCCCTCTGTGTGTGTCACTATGGCGCAGCGAGTGAAGCGGATGGAGAATGCCCGGTTCTTTGGCCGCGCGATCTTTGCCACAAAAGCACCTGTGTGATGGAAAAGAAGGTAACGAAAGTGAGAACTGCGCCTGGGTTGTTTCCCTGCAGTCGCCGAGCTACATAAAGCCATCCGAAGGAATAGAAACTGCCTTAAGTGTACAGGGTCCTTTTGAAAACTGTGAAACTGCCCACTTAGTGCCCCCATATACTGTAATTACAATAGTATGTAATCTTGTTAGGCTGCTGCTTGAGAAATGTATTGCGTAGTATACAATAAATAGAATATTTAAAATCTGTTGACATACCTTAAACCTGAGAAGCACTTTAAGGAACTTAAAATATCTGAATAACTGCAACATCCTAGAAATTTCCGTTATGTGAAGTACTGAGGAATGCATAGATACTGACTTAAAGATGAATAATAATCTCCGCCTAGACAAATGTACAGCTGTTAAATTGGCTTCACAAATATTAATCCTACTGAAAAAATTCTTTCTGTTGAGAAATAGATCATAATATAATAAGTGATTGGGAGTGGTAAGTGGGGTACTACCACAAGCATCAACCAATGAATAGAGGTACTTTCTAATACAAATCTTGACACTGCCTAATATTAATTTATTATTACACAGCTGAGATCTTGTCATTCCTTTAGTAACTGAACTTTCTCTCAGATACAAGTATGATCCATACTTATTTCTGATTTAAATGACATAAATCTTGAGATACAACAGATGTAAATGTGAGAGATTACCTGTGATGAAGGCTTCTAGCATGAGCCCTAGGACCATCTGTATGGCAAGCAGGGCAATAGCACTGGGGCAGTCCCCACTTGGAAACATAGTACCATAACCAATGGTGAGTTGTGTCTCCAGCGAGAAGGAGAATGCAGCTGTAAAACTGGTGATGTACTTGACACAGATAGTGTGGTTGTCAGGTGGAGAATCGTGGTCCAGCTCCAGGTCCCCGTTCATCTCAGCCAGCACATACCAAAGCACTGCAAAAACTAGCCAGTGAATGACAAAAGAAGCAGAAAATACAAGCATCATCCATCTCCAGCGCATGTCCATTAGTATTCCCCACGCATCTCGGAGGTATGCCAGACCTTGTCCTTGTGCACCATCCATCTGGAATGTGCTGTGTCCATCCTTTGTGACCATTCTCAGGTATCTCTGGGTTAGGAGGGGAGCGCTGGATTTGGTGTTATTGCTCTCTATCGTATCTGTTCTCATGTTCTGGAAAAGACAAAAGAGGAAAATAGTCTGATGCAGTGCAGCATATTTGTGTTTTGCCTAATGTTCACAGTTTTTGACACATCAGCAGGGGTTGAAATACTGCAGCCAACAAAGGAGGGCTTATACATTGCAATCCAGAGAAGATTAAGTCAGGAGCCTGGGGTGGAATTTACCACTATTTGTGGTAATACTTAGCTAAAATAGATTAACTTTAAAAAATGCAACTATTTCTCACATTTTCCCTGCTTAGTCATTGTATATAACTTGTATACTTCAGTGAATTTATATTTATCACGTGCTTTAAGTTTTTGATGGGTGGGAGAGGGAGTTGGCACAATGTATCTGGAAAATAATTCTTGTATCAGTTTAGTTTAGTAACTGTTAGTGTAATTTTTGTAACTAAAGCAGAGTGTAATAGTTTACCTATACTATGATGAATACTGTTAACAATACTACCATATGTTATTTTTGTACATGATTATGCATTTTAGGGGGTGCTGTAGTTTACCTCATTTCTACCCAAGTAGATGTCCTTGCAGGCTTTTCTTGCTCAGGGAATGACTGCTGTCTGTACCTACTCTGTCTAGCTAAACAGAATTAGAGTACTCAGGGCATAGCTGTTTCTGAGTTCACTTATGTAAGCATAGGTTAGAAAAGGGCAGGAAAGCAAAACTTGAAATAGATGATGATACATAATTTGTAGTTTAGTCTGCCTAAGCGGTGTGTTTTTATTAGTGACCAAATAAGAAAAATAGGACAGCAAATGTGTGGAAATTAGGGGGTGAGGGTAGAATTGTGGGTGTGGGAAGCAAAATGGACATTTGTCATTTTTAGCATCAGAACTTAATGAACTCATCAGGAATGCTGAGTGGCTTTCAGAAGATGCTGACCACCCAAATCCTAAACTTGTTAAATATTGAATACTTAAAGTTCACCTAGAACAATAATGTAACAATTTAAATTAGTGTGTATGATCTGTTTACAAATAGCTGTGAAGGATGTATTTTTGTAGGAGGAGGATTTTCCAAAACTGCATAAATTCTGCAATCCATAATTATACATGGTATGTTTCATCACTTTTGTCAGTTTCTCATCAATTTTTTTTTCCCTTTTTCTGAATATTTCAGCATGTAAAACAAGTGTATGTTCAAGTTAAAGGAACTGGATTCCATCTGTGTCAAAGAAAGTCATCTTAGTTTTGTGTTGAAACACACTGGATCTAATGATCATAAAATTCAGAATCAATTGATGGAATTTTAAATGAAAAAAACCCACTGTTTTGTGATTTCTGATCCTGTAAACCAGTAGCTTTCATGACTGTTTACTTGCTCTTGATAATCACATAGTTGTAGGGGTTGGAAGGGACCTCAGGAGTCCACACCCCCTACTAAAGCAGGTTCCGTACAGTAGGTTGCACTGGAAAGCATCCAGTTGGGTTTTGATTATCATCAGAGAAGGAGATTTTACCACCTCATTGGGCAGCCTGTGCTGGTGCTGTTACCCTCACATTAAAGTAGTTCTGGCTGAGAAGAGCCTAACCTCATCCAGTTGACTCTTGCCCATTAGATATTTATAAGTCTTGATAAGATGCCTTTTCAGTTTTCTCTTCTTCAGACTGGACAGCCCCAGGTCTCTCAGCCTTTCCTCATAAGAGAGACACTCCAGGCTGCTAATCATCTTTGTGGGGATCTCTAGGAATTCCCTGTCTGTCTTGAACTGGGGAGCCCAGAACTGGATGCAGTACTCCAGATGTGGCTGAAGTTCCTTCTGACCTCTGCAATTCTGTGATTGTCTGAACAGAGAACACCTACAGGACAAAGCACCTCTAGGTGTAACCTCATGCGTTCTTGAGGGAAAAAGATGTGCTTGTAAATTCTTACGGTTTATTGGAGGGCAGCATCTGCTTTACAGTCTCAAAGTTATTTGGGCCTGAAAAATCCAGTCAGTCTTCTTCATCAAGTTGTTTACAATGTATTCTGTGGAAGAAGGGCCTTTACAGACATGTCAAGGGTACTCTGCAAAGGGAACCTCCATTAACCTCCAGCAGTGCATTTTGTAATGGTCCTTTCTTGGTGTTCCTTGAGACTCTCAGCAGGGAAATTACCTGTATGGTTCACCAGGTAACTGCTCTGATCTCATCTGATAGAGGCTTCTGATCTTTCTTGTCTAGCACTGTTTTAAAGCATCACCTAGCTGAGTAGATGGCAGCAGTAGCATTGGAAGCTTTGGCCACGAGTCTAAACTTCCTGGGCAGGGAACGATGGCAAAGAAACTGTAAATAAGCTTTAAGAGCGATGCAGTTGTTTTAGTATAGGTGAAAAAGTTAATTGTCTTGTGGGAAATAATTTGCTCAGGCTAGAGGATCAGGCTACTGAATTTCTCAAAAGCAGGATCAACTTGAGTAAGTGTGACTTCAAATTTGAAGATAATTGTCTTCTATATACTTCTTTCCTTGCCCAATGTAGTAAAAAACTTAATCTCCCTCTTAGTAATAAATTAATAAAATGATAAAGTATATTTTAGACCACCTAGTCTGATTCTGTGCAGTGTTGTCCTTGAGATCCACACATCAATCCTAGTTTCAGAGTAAGTTTTAGAGAAGATGTGCAACTCTGACTTGTGTTTTGTTGGATAACAGGTCTCCAGTGCTGAATGGATATGGTTCCTAGACCAGGTTTCTCTAATGTCATCTTTTAACCTTTATGATATGCTTCTTGTTTGGTTTTGTTTTTCCTGGTTGTTGGCTTGTGAAACTGTAGCTTTGGGGTGTTTCTTCTGCCAGCTGATAACCCCTGACTAGAAAGACAGGAGCTGTCAGCTAAGATTTTCTTAAGCCTCTCTTTGCTTGCTGGCCAATCTTTAATTTCCATTCAGTGTTTCTAATCCTTCCTGTTTCCAGTCTATTGAGAATTCAGTGGTTATCACCAACTCTCTTTGATTCTTTTAGTTTTTTTAAACCTCTTACTTTACTGTCTTTGTCCCTCATTCTGACTTCTTTCTTTCTTACAATCTTGTAAGACAAACCAAGGTAGGGTGAGTACCGCAGTTTAACTTTTATTAGTGGTTGGGTCAGTTTAGAACCTGTCCAACTTGCTAATAAAAACTTGAGCTTACAGTTCTAGAACACTGCTTGCGTTTCTGAAATTCATGATCCAACACACCTACCCTCCCACACTTTGCTTTGTTACTGAGATGTTTGCTTTGTTGTGTTGTGACAGCTCTTTGAAGTAGCATTGTGCTCTGCACCACCGTGGTGCTTTCCTCCATCTCTAAGGCATCCTTTAATCCATGGGGACTTATTTGCAGTCTTCATGTTTTTGTTTGTCTTCCCAGCTGAAGGCACTGAAAATGACACTCAAGCTTTTGGCTTGATAAGTTAATGCAGCTGCAACCCCTCTAGGAGCTGGAATGCTGTTTTGTGGAGCTTTGTCCCAGAGAAAAGTTACAGTGCTGCCATAACTGCCCAACTTCCACTCTTAAAATCTGTTCCAGTTGATCTCAGAAGGGATTTGAGGTGGTTTATAGTGTGCCACTTCATTGCAGCAGTGAGGCAGTCAAAGAGGACTTGCTATTTCCTGAGAGTACTGCTAACACTGCTTACAGCTGTAGCAGAACTTGAGGATTAATTAGAACCCAAGTGATGGTGTCATGCCCCTTTTTACTGAACCTGACTTCGAATAACTTTACACTTCAGAATTAAATATTGGTGCTGTAAGCTGTGATTATTACCTTTTTTCTGGTTTATCTTTTTTTTAAGTCACTTTTATGCTATTAAAATCTCAGTATTGCTCTTTTTCCATGGGGTGATGATCCTTGATGCTTTGATGTTAACCTTAAGAAGCAAATTTTTTTCCAGAGTTGATGACTTCTCTGGATCATATAATCTGCACTAAGGCTGGTCTTAGAAATGTAGGTAATTCAGTCAGTACTGTAACTGCTTTAGTTGAAAACTTATGCTACAGCTGTGAGTAGGATAGTTAGAATTTTGAGCATGTTTGTCCTTGAGATTTTGTAGGCAATTCCTCATTTAGATGAACAGAATAGAAGTTGGTGACAACTTTTTTTCCAAGCAGTCTGCAGAATTAAGGTAACAGTTTTCAAGACTCAATACAAACATAAAGAAATACAGTGAAGATGAAAACTTCTTCTGAGCCCAAGTCATGATTTTCACAGCAAATAACACAAAACATAGGATACCAAAGCTTTACTTTTGACCTTCACTGACTGTTTATTACAGAGTGGACTTTAGAGAAGGAAAGAAAAAAAAGGTGAAATGGGACAGAGTATTACAGCACAGAAGAATGACTTGTTAGAGACTTGATTCATGAAGACCTTGGTGTTTTTGAAGAGCACTGATAGCTTTCTAGGCAGTTGACACTTGATGTTCATTAATGGATTCTTAAGACAGTAGTGCTAGCTCACAGCAGTGTGTCTGTAAGCAGTAGATCAGAATGCATTGATTGAAAGTGATTGAAGACATGACAATAAATTACCAATGTTAAAAGCAGATCTGAAGAGATGGAGCTGGTTTCTTGCATTTTTGGTGGAACTGAAGTGAAATGCTGAGTTGGTTGATGAAACAAGAGGTGAGGAAGGCTTTCTCCTTAGTACTGTGCGTGTAATGAGTGTGTTGTTCCTAACGAGTGTAACTACTGTTTGTTGAGGTAGAAATAGGGAATCTTGCCTTCTTGCTGCTAGGCTGGTAGAATTGTGATGCTCCCTTGTTTGCAGAGCATTGCCGAGTCTTTCCCAAAGTGTTGATCTTGAAAGCTTTCTGCAAGAACGTTGCATGATGGCTTTGGTTTTGCTCTGTGTGCTGTTGTGATTGAGATCATTTGAGAGCTTTTTCTTCTTCAGCAGAGGAAATCGGAAGCTTTTGTGTAAGGTGATATTGAATTTGGTGAGTTTTAGAAATAAAGCTTTGTGCCCTGAGAAACAACTTCATTTTCTTTCATTACAGAATGACAGAATAATTGCTAAACATACAGTAAGAGAAATTGCTTAGGGTACTTACCAGTCTTTGAAGATTTGCTTCTATGTGGGAGAAGGAGTGTGCCTGGGCTCTAGAGAAGGGACCACTTGTGTATTGGTCCCAGCACTGGTAGGGAACTTCCCACAAGTGATTGGTAGAGATCTCCTTTTCAAAAAAAAAAAAAAAAAAAAAAAAAAAAAAAGGGTTTGTATGTCTCGTTCCGGTGTTTATAGTGCAGGGGGGCTGGTTTTCATCTGAAGCTGATTCAATTGGTCACTTTGCCTGCAGGGGGGCTGGTTAGCTCTGATCATGTGGAAAAGAATGCTGGTTTGTTAGGAGCATTTTCCTTTACCCAACACAAACCCTTAGCAGGCAAGGAGAAATCCTCAAATGCTTACTTGTGGAAGGGGTGCGTTTTCCCCTCCCCTCTGTCACCAAGGTTCTTATTTAGATTTGTTTAATCTTACTTAAAGTTTTACTTGCAAGTTCAAAAGGCCAAAATTCCTCTGGAAAAACTGAATGTAAAAAGCTCTGAGATTGCTGCTGAGAAACAAGTGGTTCTCTGATACTTTCTTCCTAACGAGTGTAGCTACTGTTAATTGAGGTAGAGAGGGGAATCTTGTCTTCTTGCTGCTTCTCCAGTGCTGCTGCTTGTCCTCGTGTCCTGGCCTACTGAGTGGCTCTGCTAAGGAAGTGTGGGCTGCAGCTGGTAGTGTAGCCTATGGTCCCTGCTCAGCTGTAGTTTAATTCTGGTCAGAAGATGTAAATCTGCTGGCTGTTTCTCCATGTTGCTCCTATGTGAAAACATGAAATTAGTAACAGGATTTTGCCAAAGCCAGGAAGTGAAACAGTGCAGACTAGCTAGGTTACTGCCTTTAAAGATGCAGTGAAACTGGTTCCATGCAGTAAGTGAAAATATTTACACTTGTTCTCTCTCTCTCTTGCTTAACAAATTAGAGCAAATTGGGAGAGTTCCTTTAAGGAAAATCTTCAGTCTGAAAGAATGCACAGAGCACCCGTCGTGCTGCACTACTCAGCTGAACTCTGAGGACAACTTTGCAATGCAGTTGTATTTCTCACTTTTTTCCCCCCTTCATGAGCTGCTGATCTGAGGGCTTTCATCGAACGTCATATGTAAGAGGATCTGAGAAACAAAGGCTGCGGTTGTTTGCACTAAAACTACTGAAGGCCTGCTGGGAAAATTATTAATGTAGACTTTTATGCTTAGGGAACAAAATCCTCCCTCATTTTTTTTTCTTTAACATTCCCCCAACACTAAATTGCAAAACTTTAATTCTTTGCTTCATTAGTATGGAACGATTTTAATACATGTTCAGGCACAGCACCTAAAATGGTGGTAGGCATAGTGTGACCTTCAGAGCCAGTGCAAGTAATGTAGTGCTGCCATTATGGTAAGCCTGTGGGATAGGTGATGTGACTTGCTCTCGACTCTTCCCTATATACTCCAGTGAAGTCAGGTATCCTCTGGAGAAGGCTTTCTATTCATCAGTGGTGTGATATGAGTGTTTTTTTCCTAAACATTCTTACAGAATGTATTTTGCACTGTGGAAAGCTTATGGTGTCCAGTCGCATGTTTTCTAATCTGATTTGGATGAACGGCTTGAAAACATAATGTGACTGTACAGCAGATGAAGTGGCTACACTGTGATTTCCAGGTGTGTCTTATGGAATTAAACACTCTTGTATATCTGCATTTTGTGACTCACTCGTGCTGGGGAGTAGCCGTAGTATTAGTGAAGAATATAGTGATGTTCGATAGCATGTTTAAGAGTGGCAGTTGGGATTGAGAATTTAGGAAGGGAGAGAAAATCTAGAGAGAAAATATCACCAGGACTTTGGATTTCCATCACTGACTCTGGCTGTAGGTGAGTCACTTCTCTGTGTGTGTTCTGTAGGTAAATGCTGTCCCGATGGGAGGGTAGCATTTATTTGGAAAAGTTATCTTACGGCCACTTGTTCTATTCTTCTGTAAAATGAGCTGCAGAATTACTTGTGTAGGCAAAGTTATTTGTATGCCATTCAAAACATTTGCTGCGAAGGAATTCTTTTGTCTTTTTAGTGTGGAAATGTGTAGTTTGCAGCAGAAAGAATAGAACAAATGAAGGCACTTGGAGCCCCGTAGGTTTTCCCCCTGTTCAGAGCAGGCGGTGTTGCTGTCAGTCTTGCTATTTGTGCTCATTTTCTCCAAGTGCTGAGCGTGTCATAGGAAATGTAGACAGGCAGTGTGGAGAGCAGCACTGTTTGCTATGGCAGTGGTTAAGGTCTCGACGTGAACATGTTGCCATGGAGCCATGTCCCAGAATCCCAGTCTTGCCCTTTGCAGTTCAATCTCTCTTCAGCTCCATGTTGCACAGCTGAAGGCTTTTTTGGCTGCATACCACTGGGCTCTATCTGAAATTTTCTGTAAACATCATTGCTGGCTTTGTGACAGACTTGAACAGAGGTGCCCTTTTTTCTTGCTCCTTCTCTTCAGGAAGTCCAGTCAATTAGTCCAAGGCAAAACCATAGACTGCGTTTTCATTTTTTCTTTCTGAAAGCATTGCCAAGTACTGACTCTGAACTGGTCGTGACAGCTGAAAAGAGCTGATTGCAGTGTGGATGTACTGGGACGTTGTTAAAAGTCGGTTTCTTGATTGATCTGCCTAATGTTCAGCATCATGTCATGCCTGATCTGTTTTGAAACATTCCTTACGTCCTTGGATATTACTTGCTATGGTGCTTCAGTACCAGAAAAAGGATACGCTGCCTTTTCTTGGCTCCCACAGAACTGTGTTATCAGGTCAGCACCTGGTGCGACATGCTGAAGTACTGGTTTGTTTGGAAGTTTTTCTCAGTCATGGGTGATACCATCCTCAGATGCAGTAAAACTGCCCCCTTCGCTGCCTCTTATTGTTTCTTAATTTTTTTTAATGCTGTGGAACTTCAAATTATAGGAGAGATGGTATCTCCCTTCTTTTTGATCTTGGCAAACACTGAGTTGTGTCACCTCGTTGGAGCTGTATGTTTCTAATTCCACAGTGGGTAATGGGGATGCAGTTTCCTGCACGTGTAGAATACAAAACCTGACTTCAGTAGCTCCACTCTTGGGACCAAAACCAACTGTGGTAAGCACTGTGAACAGCACGGCCTGAATTGCCTCAGGTGTGCCTTTAGAATACTTAGCTGAAACAGTGATACAGGCATTTGTTGCCACAGCAGACTTCACAACGTTGTTTATGAAGCTTTATTTTCTGTTTAAACCCCATATGTTCTAGAAGCAGCAGCAAGAGCCCACGAGCCTATAGCTTGCTGCTGTTAGAGCTGTCTGAAGTCTTAACAATGCAAGGAAATGACATCTCTTTTCTTAATTGATGGGACCTTTGTAGCTTCTCAAATGAGTGGTGGTGTTCAGTGAGTGTCAAATAATAGCTATGAATTCTTCTGAGAAGAACAGATGTGTTTTTTTTAATAAGACTTTTTAAGCTGAAAATAGCTGAGTAACACTTGCTGGTAACTTTCTGTGAGGAAAAAAAAACAAGCTTGTGTGCTGCAGGATTAAAGAAAAAAATGCATTTTGCTTTTTTTGAATAAGTTCAGAAAATGACCATATTCTTTATCCTCTGTGTCTGAGGCTCATCTGGTCTGCTGAACTGCAGTTCTCTGCTGGGTTAGACTGTCAGTGGTCTTGGTGTGTGTACTTGTGCTTTCAGGTGGCTTGGCTCTGTTGTTGTATTTACTAGTTTTCCACTGGATGAATATTTTCCAAAATATACTGTTTTAGAAACTTTGTTCTCAAAGTGCAGCAAGCATAGGAGTTTTCTTTAGTCAGGTGCTTGTCTTAATGAAGGAAATGTGTGTCTGGGTTGTATTAGGCTTCATATGACTGCCTGTCAGTACTGATAGTGTGCTTTGGCATTTTTTTTAAATATGGAAACAAGAGAAAAGATGTTTTAGAGTTACCTTTCTGAGGTCGCTGTGTGACTGTCAGGGTGGGAGAACTCCTATGTCTTAAGCATGAAGGTGTTTTCTGACCCTCCTATGTACTTGCTAGCTCAAGGCTGTATGGTCTTGAAAATGACTCTAGAAACTTGTTTTACTGACAGCTGGGAAAGTGTTTCATCTGAACTTGGAGCACAGGAACCTGAAAACGTCTTGCTTGTATGTTGTTCTCTGGTTTTAGTTCTGCATATACCCTTCCAGTATGGTCCCTCCCTAACACAACTTGCTGTGGAAGATTTTGATCTGGAGGAAGAGAGAGGCTGTCGCTGTTATGAGGTGGAAGAGAAGTGGCATGGGTTATTTTCAAGCAGTATACATTTTCAAGCAGTATACAAGCTCCAAAGGCAGTGCTTTGGGTTCTGCTTTTGGAGTTCAATGTCCCCAAGTAGGAAGAATTTCTGAACTCTTCTAAATGGAGATTTCATAAGCTGTAGTATTTCGGGTTCTCTGCACTCCCCATTGTACATATAATACAGCTTTTCTTCAGTGAATGGGAAAAAGTGGGGAAACAACTTGCAAATCCTTCCTAAACAAAGTTCTTAAAATTGTCCCAAAAATGACCTGAGGAGTCTCAGTGCAGTCATGTGCAGGTGTGTTAGACAATCTTTACTGCATTATCACTTTCTTATATTTCTGGATTTTTAGAATACAATCCATAAGTCCTGAAGGTAGTGCTGCCATTTATTTCAGCAGTGGTGGATCCCTGTTGGAATGAGTCAGCAGTTACAGCAGCATGTCTGACCTGAGTTACTGCACACAGTACATGTGCTTTTTGTGAAAACATACACGTAATCTTTTTGTGACAGCTCTGTTCTTCACTACGTACCTGAGAACTTTGTTTTATTTCAAATATAATGTGGTATAAGTTAAGAAATAGGACCACCCCAAATTTCTGATAGATTGTTTCTTAAGCTTGAGCATAGTTGCTTCTAACTCTCTATTATACTGACCTTGACTCCCCAGAAGATGGCTTCAAAGGGTAATAAACACTCTGCTTTTCTTATTTGGTCCTTAATCCTACTCTACATCTTCAGTCCTTCCTAGTATTTTGCGAGGATTTGCTGTATGTCTTACAGGATTAAATACATAACTCATCTTTTTAATATGCAAGTAGTAGATATCTTTGATTTAAATCAAATGTGTATCAGATTTACATTTGTCTCCATTTTAAAATGAGGCTTTTTGTGATAGTGGTTTATTTTTTCTCTGCACACTCTTCTTCTTAACTTACAGGTTACTTTATGTCCCATAATGTCATCTTTTTCTCTTCTGTTTTTCTTATCTGTGTTAAAATTTCTTGTATTCATTTTCTTCTGAATATTTTTATATACGTGCACCTTTCCCCAGTCCTTGTTTGGTTTTTCCATCCTAAGGTACATAAGGATGTGGAAGGGTTTCCTAAATGTCTGTCCTGTGTTCCCTTCCATTCCTCTGTTAAGTTCTTACCACCTCTTGTGATACATTCTTCTCAGAGAACAAGATCACAGTTCTTGTGTTTCTAGGTACCTGAAGACTGGAGTCCTGTTTCTAGTGTATTTAGTTACCTGGTTTTTTTTTGTTTTTCTTGCAGTGAGACCAAACTTTGAAGAAGGTGGGACAGCAGCAACAGGGAGGAAGCATGAATTTATACGCTCTGAGAGCGAGAACTGGCGCATCTTCAGGGAGGAGCAGAATGGGGAAGATGATGATGGAGGCTGGCGACTGGCTGGGTCACGCAGGGATGGTGAGAGGTGGCGTCCTCACAGCCCAGGTGAGAGGGAGGTCCTGAGAAAAATGCAGCCGTGGCTGGAGGGAAGGGGCAGTGGGTAAATGGGGGCCTGAAGAAAGTAGAGGAAAGGAAGGGGGCATACTAAACCATTCAGGTTATTGATCTCATTCTGGTTTTCAAAAGATGCTTGCAGTGCTAAGAGGCATCTTTGAAAGATTTCAAAATAAATTGCTCTATCCATCCTGTGGTTAGTTACAGGATATCCCATCTCTTGTTAAATTTCAAGTATCTGTTTGGTGTTACTGTCCCTCTTGCGGGTTCGCTTGACTTCCAGCACTGAGTTGCTAGAGTTGCAGGAGAAATGCAGAGCAGGGCTGTGGCTGGAAGTGGACTTTCTCTGCTACTTGGAAAAGTAGCTGCTAGCCAACTTTCCCTTTGGAACCAAGTTCCCATAATGTTTCTTCTGGTTATGCAAGGCATCTGGGGGGAACCAAGAGAGACCTGTGGCTCCTCTGCTATTTCACCTTTGTAGGGAAACCAAGGGAGGCATGGGACACTTCCGTGGCTGAGGTGAACAATTGATTTCTATTTTTTTAAATCATGTAAAAAAGTCACATTTGCTCCTGCAGTGAGGTTATCACCGTTTCAAACACCCCAAAAGACTTTCAGTACTGTAATGCAAGCAGTTGTTACTTCTGTTCCTAACCCTGTTCACAGCCGTGTACTACTCTGCCATCAGACAAATGTTAGTTTGTACTAAAATTAAGCAGAGAGCCCAAGGGTGAATTTACTATCAGATGCTTTCTATTTAGATCATGGCTAAAGGGCAGATTTTGAAGGAAGTAATTTTCTTTTTCCCAGTGTTTGGTCGTGATTGTTCATCAGACACTACTGCTTTGTTACATAGTTCAGATAACATGAAGCCAGCTAAGATAGTACCTCATGATGGTCAGATGCAGCATGATATACAGGAGTGGAGTATTTTGAGAGTGCAAGCCTGCATGCTTTAGCTTGAAGGGGTGGCACAGAGACTTTGAAGTTCAAAAGTTCATTCATGTTTTGAACTCTTTTTTGGAAGATGTTCTGAGGAAGACTGGTCTTATTACCCTCAGGGAATATTACCACTTATTTGAATTTTTGCTGTAGTAGACAATTAATTTGTAATTTTAAGTTTTAAGAGGTATAATAACAAGCTACTGGTAGAAATTCTGAGAATCTGCAGAGAAGTTGCTCGTTTTGGGACAGGAGACTGAGAAGACATCTGTATTATACTAGTCTTGTAGTTTCCATCAGAGCCATATTTGAGTTTTCCTTTTAGTAGCAGCTGCAGGACCATCAATGCAGTTTTAATTGCACCCTTGCATTAAACAGTGAGTTTAATTCAAGTTGGCATGGCTTAAACTGCTTCTCTGTACTTATCCTGCTGTTAGGTAGTAGTGCTAATCATGCAGCTTGTCAGAAATAGGCCTGTCTTCATGGAGAACTATTGCCATTTGTTTAGCTGGACCTTCCTTTGACTTGGCTCTTCATATTCCCTACTGGATGGACTGTGTGCTCTGTGATTATTTTTGTCATGCTTTAGGATGAGAATAGTTTAGAAGAACACAGTGATTGTCATGACTGAGTTTATCATCTTTTCTTGTTCAGCAGAGAACCCTTAGATTCACACAGACCACTGTTTTTACAGCTTTGAATTCCTTCTGCTCTTTCAGCTGTGTTTACTGCAGAATGGTGACCTAAATCTTTGTAGTTAGTGTTTTTTTGTTAGGCACAAAGGCTCAACAGGATGGACTAAGGCTGCTTCAATGCAGTTGTATCCTTAAACTTAATTTTTTAGATTCTGTAGTTTAATTGTGCCTTGACATACTTAAGAAAGCTATTATTTGTCTGTTCTGTTTAAGCTATTCTCTTCTTACACCTGATTCAAAGTGAGGACTTCTGAATATTGGCAGTAAAGAGAAGCAAGTCCATCCACATAATGAAGAGAGACAAGCCCAACTGTCTCTTCTGCCTAATACAGAAGGATGTAAACTTGAATGTTTGTGCAAAATGGAAACAGCCTGGATTGTATTACCAGGCTTTTCCAGCGTGAACTTATAGAATTTTGTTTTTTTTTCTGTTGCTGTATATGCGCTAGGACTAGGAGTCTGATAGCAGTTTTCTTTCCTTGTTTTCCACACTTGAAAAGCTGCTTTGCTGGTTGTTCTGGGGAAACGTGGTACTGCTCTTATCGCAGATCTTAAAGAGGGCTGTTAGACTGGATTTACTATCTGTAGGAGGTTTGTGACCATAGCTTTAAAATGTCATTATTTAATGATTTACAGTGATTTAATGACTGCCAACCTAAAATGCCCCTTTGTGTTGCTGCAGTTCTTGCATTCATACCCTTGATTTTTTCAGGGCAAATCTTTTTTATCAGATGATGCAAACTGCTTTTGGTCTCTAGTGTTTGGAATGAGGGTTTTTGTTATCATGTAATCCTTAGGGAATACATGTCATCTGTTGCCTCAAATTTCTCTAGGATTTTTGGTTGTCCTTCAGCGGCTCTAAGGTCTTTTTTTCCCAAGAAGCATTTTAAGGAGCCCTTAGTCTGTAATTTCATATAGAGGTTTCTTTTCTGGTTGCTGCTCTTTCTGATGGGATTTTCTCAAGATGGACCTGCAAGTTTTCTTTTTTCTGAAGGCAGTGCTTGAAATGGTAACTACTTGAGTTCTGGAGTGCTCGCACCAGCAGTGCATCTTCAGTGAGCCTTCATCTTGTATGTCTTTTAGAAAGTTATCGATGAGCAGGAAGCTGCTGTAATGGGCTCAAGAAATGCTCAGAACATTTGAAAACAAAGATAGAATAAGTGCAAGCTTACTGTTCTTTCTTTCCTTAATGACAGTAAGCACTCTGCCTCAGAACATGGATTTTAATTTTGAATATGAGAATGTTATTTATTTCCTGGACATAACTAGATAAAGCTATATAGCTGAAGAATTTACAGACACCTTTGCTGTAGAGAAGGCCCTTTATGTTCTCTTTATTAAAATGTGTTGAAATTCACAGCTGTAGAAGGCTGTTGTATTACACCTCCTGTATTTGCGAGACAGAGGTGTCTCATTAGTGTTTGGAGGTTTAATGTAGAAGCTTTTTTTGGTAATCATTTCATAAACACTGGTTTTCATTGATTGAACAAATCTTGTGATAGGTTTTTTTCCTCCGCAAACGATCACAAACCACCATTTAAAAACACTAACAACTGAGATGCTTCATTTTTGCTTTCTGGTAAAGATAGCTTCTGTTGGATGGAGAGCTTTGAAAGCTGTTTACAGTCTTTGTGCTCACATTGTTTTCCTTGGCTGAAGGTTCTTTCCAGTGTAAATGGTTAGCACTATTACAGTCAGAAGACTTTGTTAAATTTGGCTAAATGAAGATGTCTTCTGAATGTATTAGAAAAATGGAATGAAAGCTGTACTTGAATTTGGAAGGCTTTCCCTTTCTGTTACAAATTACCATTTCAAGTCTAATTACTAAAAATTATCATTCAAGAGACTTAGTTCCTTTAAAGAAACTCAGTCATCTGTTTTTGTGAATGTGCCTAAGCCTCTGTGAGGGCAGAAGTGGAGTTCAGGATGTGACTTCTGCAGATGACTGTCTAAAAGAATGTAAGATCTTAAATATTTCTAAGTCAGTGATGGCTGGTAGGAGGAGACTGAATTCAATCAGTGTCTGGTGTTGTTGGTTTGTCTTATTTTGGTTCTCTGGCATGTTCTAGCCACCCTTCTTATCTTTGTGGTCTTTTAATGCACATAACACAGTTGATAAGGTGGGGATATACAAACAAAAATACACAAAAGTTTCCTCATTGGTAAGGTGGTCTTTTTCTTCCAGTTGTCTTTTACAATGCTGCTTTATAGATGGATTGTGCCCCGTAGTGACTTTCTGAATTTCTGTCACTGTCATCCCTTCCACGCAAGCTGCAACCCTCAGATCTGTCTTGTAAAGTTGCTTTCCCACCCACCTTAGATGGCCCTCGTTCTACAGGCTGGCGAGAGCACATGGAACGACGGCGGAGATTTGAATTTGATTTCCGGGAGCGGGACGACGAGCGGGGCTATCGGCGAGTGCGCTGCGGGAGCGGCAGCATGGATGATGACAGGGACAGCCTCCCTGAGTGGTGCTTAGAAGATGCAGAAGAAGAAATGGGAACGTTTGACTCTTCTGGAGCGTTTCTCTCCTTAAAGGTGAAAAGCTGTCTTTTGCCTTGTATGTGTTTTTAGCAAACGTCTTGTTATGTCAGGTGGATTATGAATGGTTGTTTACTTTAATAGAAGGTGCAGAAGGAGCCAATTCCTGAGGAACAGGAAATGGACTTCCGACCTGTGGACGAAGGGGAGGAAAGATCTGACTCTGAAGGGAGCCACAGTGAAGATGCCAAAGATCATGAAAAGACTACCAAGAAGGAGGGGGAGAAAACAGATAGAATAGTGTCAGGTAAGCGTCTGTTGTATGCTACAGTTTAGAATTTCAGTTAATTCAGTTAAGTAGAATCATGCAATGTTACAGAAGCAGCAGAAGAAGCAGTCCAAACATCTTCACCGGCTACCAGGTCAGAGAGCCCACCAAAATCCCAGCTTCAAGACTCGCTGCAGACAAGCCTTTTTGAAAGGAAAGAGGAGTCTGTCCCAGAAAGAACAGAAAAAACAGAAGATAAAGAAAGTCGAACAGAGAATGCACCGCCAGCCAAATTGCCCAACAGAGGGGAAGGTAATAAACTCAATTCATTAGACTTCCATTACACATTGTGATCTTAGAAGTTCTCTTTAAAGATTGGATTATGGTGATGATAGCCTAGAACTTGCCAAGTC